GTCAATTTGTCAAGAACTAGTGAGCCGGTGAACAGATTTTCATGAAATTTGGCATTAGAGGCTATTAACGAAAACTTATTTGTATATTCCACTTTCAACGAAAATGAGACTAGGACTCAGGGCACCAAACTCGTATTTCTACGCATCTTTGTGCGCATATCCAGCGGTGTATAATTTAGATACTGACGTCGTAAGACAACTCTCAAACTGCCTGTGGTTGCTTGCTGCCTGCTGTGAGTGTCGACACTATGTGACGCCCATGACAGGATGATAAATGCATATGGAGCATTTGGTGGAATGACAATTTGCAAAGGAATCCTAAGTACCTGGAGAAAATCTGTCCCAATTGAGCATTTGGTGGAATGACAATTTGCAAAGGAATCCTAAGTACCTGGAGAAAATCTGTCCCAATTCCACTTTGTTCACCACAAATCCCACATGACCTGACCTGGGACTGAACCAGGATGGATGTGGTGGGAAGCGGATGCTTCATGCTGGTTCGTTGCTTGACTTACTCTTCGGCACTGAAGATGGTGGTGAAATGTTCTTCCGAAACGTCGGTTGATTTTCACGGGTATACATGGCGTTATATCCCAGAACACATAATTCTTCATAACCACCGCTGCCTATACTTCTAATCCTAGTTTTCTAGTAGTTTATTCGTTTCATTTACACACACTGTTTATTTCCCTTGTCTTCCTCTTCTGTATAAGACATAATTTATACTGTCTTCAAATAAAACCAATTATTCCAATTGGTAATACTGGATAAATAATTGCGTTAGCTCTGATGTTCTTACAGCGATGAATAACTGTTTTCTAGGATGTTACGCCGTGTAGTCCAACATATTTAGTGAGAACCTGCTTCTGTCTTGAAGATGTAGGGAGCAGGACTTCCGAAACGCCGGTTATCTTTCTACGATGTTATAAGCCGGTGAAAGATGAGTAACTGCAACAGACATAAGCTTGCAGGCTGCAACTGGCACACCTTTCTACTTTTCTCAGAGAAAGCCTTCTCTTCTCCGGGGCCCGGCACGCGGAGTCTCGCTTTAGTCTCGCCTGAAACGAGAATTTTCTTGTCTCACTGCTTGCTTCTCTGCAATGACCGGCTTCTGTGAAGCGTTATATCGATAGTATCGATTGTGCAACCATAATATTTGTTTATTTAACGACGCGAGTCAATAGCTCAGATTAAATAGTTTAGAATGATGAAAAATATTGAATTGAAGAGGATGTGGAAGAAAGCGTAGTAGTAGTAGTGGTAGTAGTAGTAGTAGTAGTAGTAGTGGTAGTAGTAGTAGTAGTAGTAGTAGTGGTAGTAGTAGTGGTGGTAGTAGTAGTAGTAGTAGAGTAGTAGTAGAGTAGTAGTAGTAGTAGTAGTAGTAGTAGTGGTAGTAGTAGTGGTAGTAGTAGTAGTTGTTGTTGTTGTAGTAGCAGCAGCAGGAATAAAAAAAGTAAAATAAGAAAAGATATCCCTGCAACAGGCCGCAGAGGCCCATAGGGTTGTGAGATGTTGAGGTTCCCACATTTTCTAGACAATCGGCTCACAGATGACGGTGAGGTTGTCAGAGCATTCCGTGGAAGGAGAATTGATAAGGGAAAACTAAGTACCTGCAGGGAACCTACCCCAGCGCCACTTTGTACACAACAAATCCCACGTAACATGACCTGGGATCGAACCCGAGCCACCGCCTGCCGGTAGTTACTGTTTTTCTTAGTTCGCATAGTGGGGGGGGATTGAGTCCAGTTGGGCCCACTCGGCACGGCGGCCACTGATTGGCCTATTGTACCTGCCCCGGGTGATTATGATGATGGAGAATTTGGTGGAATTAAGATTGGTAGGGGAAACCGAAGTACTCGGAGAAAACATACCCCAGCGCCACTTTGTTCACTACAAATCCAACTTGACCCGACCCGGGTATGAACGAGAGCCGCCGCGGTGGGAAGCCAGCGACTAACCGTTTGAGCTATGGTGCGGCCCTGTTGTTACTATTGCTTGAAGCTGACCATTCACCTCCATGTAGCGCCAAGGTCAAGAATGGTGGAGCTATACCACCACTTCCCCAAACGTCTTCATAACTTGGTGATTAATTAAACATAAGGACAAGTTTCTCCGATCGTGGCCTAATGCGGTACTATCCTAGCATCTGCTTGGATGGACTGGGGGGAACTAAAGATCCTTGGTCAGAATATCCGGTGTCTGGACTGAGATTTGAACCCACGCCCTCCATAATACGAAAGGATACGGTACTTCGACTCCGTTCTAAGCATCTGCAAGTTGTTTAAGGATCTGGGTAAAGCTAACAATTGTTGAAAAGTCTAGGCTTGAGTGTCAGCAAGTGCTCTTCTTCAGTTAGCTGAAGTCTGTTCACATTTCACAGCTCTCTGCTGATGGTCTTCTTCTTCTTCTCCTCCTCCCCCTCTCCCTTCTCATTCTTCTCCTTCTCCTCAACCCCTCCTCATTCTTCTTCTCCTCCTCGTTCTCCTTCTCCTCCCCTCATTCTCATTCTCCTTCTCCTCCTCATTCTTATTCTTCTCCTTCTCCTCCTCCTCTCCCTCCCCCTCCTTATTCTTCTTCTCCTCCTCCTCTCCTCATTCTTCTCATTCTCCTCCTTCTCCTTCTTCCTCTTCTTTTTCCGTGACGAATTAGGACCTATGTCCTCCTCCCATTTTCTGAACTATTAAATCCTATACACAGTCGGCAGGACTCCTTGGGCGGGTGATCAGCCCGTCGCAAGGCCGCTACCTACACACAGAACCACACAAACACAGAATAAACGCACACAGACATCCATGCTTCAAGTGGGATTCGAATCCACGATCCCAATATTTGAGAGGACAAAGATAGTTCGTGAAGAATTCTGTCTTCTGGGATGTGACGCCGTGTAGATATTTTGTTAACCGACGTTTCGGAGGAACATATCGCCTCCATATTCAGGGTATAGGAAATCACGCTGGTTCATCGTTCGCGGATTTCTTATACCCTGAAGATGGAGGCGATCTACACGGTGCCACATCCCAGAAGACTGCATTCTTCATAGTCACCGCCGTGAAAACCTGAAATCTTACAAAGATATTTTGTGCCTTGGACCGCGCGGCCACTGTGATCTTCACAACGTAGTTCCCTGATGCAAATTGAGAATTCGCCCTATATCGGTGAGACAGTTTATTGGGCCACTTTGACGAGCGACGCGGGAAAGCGCTGTTACATTTTACTTTCGTCTTCCCTCCGATTTTCTGTGTGAACTTCGAGTTCTCGGAACAAGATCACAATTAAAAATTGTACACTCGCTTAAGTGACCTCGTAGCATGGGCTAAAGGAGAAGATTAGATCTATTTCCGTTGCTGGAACATTGCCATCGTGGCGTGAACTTCACGCCTGAAGCACTTGTTACCATCAGGCAAGGCTTCAAGGTCGAAAGTATGGGGATGGGGGTGGGGGGGCTGACTTGCATGGGCCCCGACATGACAGGCAAACCAAAACATCTGTCCTCCTCCTGAAATTTTGAACAAGGACTCAAAATATGATACAAGAATTCATGAGAGAATTATTCGCCTACTTTGATACGACGCGGACCGCACAGAAAATGACTCGTCTAACAATTCTTTTATTGTTATGTGTATATTCTTTGCCGCGGTAAAGTTTTTACCCAGCAGTTACCTAGCAACGTTACAAAGACACACAGACTTAATGGAAGGGATTTATGAAGTACGCCGTTGAGATGGACTCAGGTGCCATGATATACGTACATACAAAATTTCATAAAGATTGGTTCACGAATTCAGAAGTTAAATAGACAGACACACACATAGCATGATGATGACGTAAACCTACTTTCATTTTTTCAAAATAAGAAAAGCAGGTTAATAAGAACGATATATACCAAATATTAATGGGATATAAAAATATTTTTGTCAACTTTCACCCTATCGAAAAAATAAAATCAGGCTAGTGAGATCACCTTGCTGTCTGTCTGTCTGTGTATCACTCCCCTTCTCCTTATCGTTGCTACGCAACGACTCGGTTAACACGTTCCAGCGGCAACGAATACACACGCAATAATAGAAGAATACGACGATTTCGACCCTGAAAATAGACGTACTGCTTTCTTTGCAAAGGTCGGTGGATTTCTGCCAAACTACACGGCGTCACATCTTGGTCACACCTGTGAGAAATTCAAGTCAAACATAAATAATGTACTCACAATTCATGGGGAGGGGGGGCACACGGTAGCGTAGTTGGTTGAGGCATTATGCTACAAGCCGGAAGGTCGCGGGTTCGATTCCCGATGAGGTCATTGGATTTTCCAATTTACCTAATCCTTCCAGCAGCACTATGGCCCTGGGGTCGACTCAGCTTCTAACAGAAATGAGTACCAGGAATCTTCCTGGGAGTAAAGGGCGGCCGGTGCGTAGGGCTGACAACCTCACCGCCATCTGCGAACCGATTGTCTAGAAAATGTGGGAGCCTCCACGTCTCACGACCCTATGGGCCTCCACGGCCTGTTGCAGGGATAGCTTTACTTAACCTCACTATTCATGTTTATTTTTCCGTCTCTTTGGACAGTATAAAACCTTTGCAGATGAAACAGTAGCGTTAAACAATACCACATACAACAGTAGTTCAACATGGAGAGCAGTAAAACCCAGCCTCAACTAAGCAGCACATTCTATACACAATTATTTTGAATTGGAGTCATTGAAGCAGGAAGAATGCGACTCCTTGGGCGTTTGACCCTAATACCGAGTGCCCCCCTTTTACTAATCTCACACGAACGTCACAACATTGACACTCTATCAGATGAGAAATACCTGCACCAAAATCTGCGCAGGCGATCAGCCGTGTCAGTGCTGAGTCACAAACTCCACGCTACCGTCATCAGGGTCGACGTGGTGAACGACCATACGTCGCCAACATGTCTGGTAATGCGACGAGGCACCTTTGCCCTATATCTTCACATCATCCATTTTATTTCATGTGATGTACTGAATGTACTCAAAACAACATAATATCACGGAGCGCAGTCGTGTTTCATTTGTTTTTCGAGGGCGGCAAAGATGGCGACAGTAGATTGGAGAAACAGCAATTGTTAAAAGTATGTGAGTGTATCTTTAAAACACGATGAACATTTAAGTTCCGTGTGTTAAAATTGTTGAAGTTAATACTAGTAGCGTTACATAAAGCCCGTAATCTGTATCAGGTTAAGAAGATTCGTTAAAACTGGAATAATTTAGTAACAGCACCTAACCTCAAAATTCAGGTACAATCAAATGGTCACAGTATTGAACAATTGTTCTCGGATGTTGAAGTAGCAAAACGGCTTTGGATTGAGTGCAGTAGTTTTACATGTAATGTAAGATGAACTTGTTGACTGAAATTAATTCATGACACTCCCATGTCAGCGTTTTTATTAGCCAGTGGGTTTCTTCTTACGTAAGCCTCTCCCCATGCAACAAAGACGCATGTCCACTAAATATGCTGTCATATAATTCCGAAACGCAATATTTTTATGCGTCTGCGAAACATAATCTTATCTTTTTTTACTTGCAGGAACGTCGTATTTTATTTTTGGACTCTTTAAGACCTTGTGAGTGCTGTATTATTACGTGTGGACGTATTTTGGTGCTAATCTCACAACGAAGACGCTGTCTGCTGGTGAGTGCACAAACATTAATCATTTTCCTTATAACTTACGTTCCTATCACCAAGGAAGACGCCTTATACAGTAAAGCTTCTGATTCGTTTTCAGAAGATAATAAGTTCGAATCTCAGTCACAATACTATCCTGACAGACATTCTTCATGATCTTCTTCAGTCTCTCCATGCAAATGCTGAGATAGTATAGCTTCTTCAATTTATTAGAAAATTGGACGGGTTAAAGAAGAAAAGCAGTGTCATATAATAAATAACAATAAACCAGAAATAATCCGGCATATAAAACCGAGATTAACGGCCGTGGGAATCCGTTGCGCTGACCACGTGACACCCTCTATCCGCTAAAGTGGGCACTAACTTCGCCGAGAAGCAGCGGTCTCTCGGTCGGTATAGTTTGTTTGTGGACTATAGGCCACGGAGGAAAACACAAATAAAGAACACTACACATATTATTGTAGCCTGTAGAGCTGTTACCATGCAACGATCTCGAAACGAACAAATATACAACAGCCGTTTCCAGGCAGCGGCTCAGTAAACACTTCAGCGACAAAGGATACGTATACAACAATAGAGCTACTGTTGGGAATGGTGTTTTCTACTAGGTCCGTGCAAAGGGGTTATAAGAAGGGTAACAAGTCTAGAATTTAAGCCCGTATGGAGGCGGGTTAGAATACCTGCGAGTCTTAGGAGGCGACGAAAAGGGAATCCAGTGCCTGGGGGCATAGCTGGGCCACCCTGTTCTTGTAGGATATCAATACGGGAACCAGGCCCTCCAGGTTGGGGTAGTCTCGAATCTGAGACGGTAAAATATGGTCGTGAGTCCCGCGGGACTTCAACCTGAGAATGACTGTGCTGGAAAGAACCAGCAGCAATTGTAAACGACAGACTCATCCTCTCGCCAGAGAAGATGTTACATAAGGACTATGAATGCAAGTGTTCAGTTGGAAAAACAAAAATATTGATCGTGAGTCTCAAGAGGCTTGTCGCAAAGACGAAATGATTGGCGATAAATCGCTAATCGTAAACTAACTCTAGGGTTTAGTTCGGTTGGAAGGGAGATGCCAATCAGAGAGGACTTGAGTCCGGAAGCAGATGAATGACCATTGTTGGAAGCCGTTACCAGATAACTACTAGTGAAGACACTGAGACCTGGAAAAGATTTAGCGTGATTTTGTAACGTGTGGAAATAGGGATAGTGTTAGAGTTATTTGTAGTTACGACTTGTAAGTTGTCAATAAATCTAGCCACCAATCGAAAACTTGTTTATAGTCACGTGACTATCAAGCTTCAGTCCAAGACCAATTTTCTCCCTGGGAAAAAAAGAACCCCACGGTACCCATTTATTAGAAGTCTTAGTGGGCCCAAGGGCAAGGAAGTAAAAACCACGAGGAAGGAATAAGAAACTGCAATACGAGTATGTGTAGCGGAAGGCGAGGCAGAGAAAGCGGAGTCATACACCTGGTAACATACGCCATATATTTACTGGTCTCGTATTAGCAGTTCTACCTGTTAAGCCACTATACTTCTGCCTGGACACTGGGTCTCTTGTCTCTTGCCTTGTGAAACAAAAAGAGCAAAATTGTCAGTACTTCCTCATATATGCGTGTGGTACGCCCAATTTTTATTTTAGATGATCTCTATAAATTGTTGGAAATTGATCAAAATCGTTGGAGCCGTTTTCAAGAAAATCAAATTTTTGTTTTTTGATACTCATTTTAAGGGCCCCTATTTTTGGAGCTGGAATATTCATTCACCGGCCACCGGCCCGTGTTGGGTAGACTCTTAAAAGCGGTATATATCGCAAATAAACGACATCCAACAGTTCAGGTGTTAGCGAGCCGCACATATATACATGGACACATACAGGCAGTTGTCATTCCAAAAACCACTTCCTTATATTCAGATGTACTATAAACTTTGAAAAAGGTAAAGCTATCCCTGTAATATTCCGTGGAGGCCCATAGGGCTGTGAGACGTCGAGGCTCCCACATTTTCTAGACAATCGGTTCACAGATGGCAGTAAGGCTGTCAGCCTCACGCGCCAGCCGCCCTTTACCCCAGAAAGATTCCTGGTACTCATTTCTGTTAGAGGCTGAGTCGACCCCAGGGTCATAGTGCGGCTGGAAGGATTAGGTCAATTGAAAAATCCAATGACTTCATCTGGAATCGAACCCGCTCCCTTCCAGCTTGTAATATAACGTCAAACGATACGTAAAATGTAAAATTTAGCCTTGAGTTTATTTAATTAAGCACCACGCCATAAAGATGTGTGGAGGGAATGGAGGTATAGCTGCATAATTCTTAACCATGGCACTAGATGGTGGTAGGTCATCAACTTCACAGAATTGCCACTTTACCGCCAGGGAAACAGCCCGTGGTTACCTTTAGATAGTAGGCTGAGTGGGCCCCAGGGCCGGTCCGAACACTATGAAGAAAAGAGAACGTTTTGTCCCTGCTGGGAATAGAACCCCGACTCCTTGGTCGTCCTGCCTTGTACCGACTGAGCCATTCCGGCTCTACTTAATGGCAGGTTGATAAATTTGAAAGGACGTGGCAGAGTGCAGTTATGGGACAACTTGTATCACTAGCCCTAGACTGGCCTGGAGGAACTGAGGAAAACATACAGAGAGCCTCAGTCAGGACGGGTCAGTCTCCGGGACCTCACGAGTTCTCACGAGGCCGATGTGCTGACCACTCGGCCGTGAGGTGCGGTCCGAGCAGGTCGCGGTATCGCCTTTCGCACGTCAAGGCGGTTTCTGTTTGGCCTCCACTAGGTGTGTAATCAGGTCCAGGCTCTATGCACACTTCCGGTGTCGCTGTGTTCATTCCTGATAAGCAGATACCTTGAATTCTTGCTCAAGGATTCTGCGGGAGAGGTAAACCATGACCAGTGTAACAACCAGATGCACGCGGTGGCGTAGTTGGTTGAGGCACTGCGCTACAAGCAGGAACGTCACGGGTTCAATTCCCGATGAGGTCCTAGGGTCGACTCAGCCTCTAACAGAAATGAGTACCAGGGGTAAAGGGCGGCCGGCGCGTAAGGCTGACAATCTCGCTGCCAACTGTGAGCTGACTCTAGAAAATGTGGGAGCCTCGACGTCTCACAACCCTATTGGCCTTCATAGCTTTACAGTTTTTTCTGCCAGTGTAGAAATGGGGGACTCGGGGCCCCTGTTGCGTGCCGTGCAGCAAGTTGCCCCTTTCGGACACACAACACGAACGGGAAAAGGAGGGAAGAGTAAGATGAGAAGGAGGAGGAAGAAGAGGAGCAACATAGGAAGGAGGAGGAAGGGTAAGACGAGGAGGAAAGAAGACGGGTGTATATGGGGAGGAGAGGCAAAATGTGGAGGTTCATGCGAAAGGACGGAAAAGGAAGAGAATGCGGAAGAGAACAAGACAATTGAGAATGTGGTGCAGGGAGGGGGGTAATGATGAAACAGAGGAGGAGGAAGAAAATGCGGAAGAATTGTATTTTCTGTGAATAATTTTCTAGCGCACATTCCAACTTCACAAACGCTGGCCTTGTGTGAGCTGATACCGAGGTTTAAGTTCTGGGTGCGAGATTCATGCTGGATGCGGCCGCACTTGCGGAGGGCTCTCTCGGTTTCTCCTCTTCCTTCGTTCCCCCTTCTTCTACGTCTTCTTCTCTCCAATTCTTCCTTTCATTTTCCTCATTTCTCTCCATCTGCTTTTCCTTAACCTCCCTTTCCTCTTCTCCTACAGCTCTTTTTGTCTTCTTATTTCTTCTCTTCTTTCCACAATTTCCTTCTTCCTCTCCTTGTCTTTCTATTCTGTCTACTCCTCCTTCTTGTCCCCTTCTTGTTCTCCTATTCTTCCGTTCCTTCTCTTCGTATTTCATCTCCTCTTCCGCCTAGTCCTTCGTCTCTCCTTCCTACCCTAAACTTTCTCCCTCAATTTTTCCTTGTCTTTTCCTCTCCCACTTCTTCCATCTCTCCACGGTTCTGCTCCGCACAATTTTGCGTTCAGCGTCTGAGGAAAGTGCACTCTGCAAGAAATCGAATTTGTTCTGTGCGATTTTATATTGATAGAAACTCTTCGTGTTCAATTATTGGTCACGTGACTCTACTAGTATGCAAATGTGAAACAGACGTGAACAAGAAGTGTAGAGTGAAACTAGTTATGTGACTGAAGTCAGGTGATCACAGTGGCCAAGATGTACAAATTGTCGTAATACTTAAGAAGTGAAGCAACAAAATCAGTGATTTTTTTATTGCTGGTGGGGTGGGACTAAGTCCCTTGTACTGCGGCCACTTCTGGCCTATTGTACCAGCCCCGGATGATAGGTGAGGGTGATTGTGGAGCAATTGGTGGAATGAAGATTGGCAAGGGAAACCGAAGTACTCGGAGAAAAACTGCCCCAGCGCCACTTTGTCCACCACAAATCTCACTGGACCAGAAACGGGATCGAACCCGGGCCGCCGCGGCGGGAAGCCAGCGACTAACCGCTTGAGCTATGGCGCGGCCTAATGAGTGATGATACTCAAGTCAGGTTGTGACTGTGTCCAAAAATAATCTCTTCTTGCATTTAAAGCCTTATAAAAGGCAAAGGTGTCCCTGTGCTTAAGTAATTAATTGTCATTCCATGAGGACGTATGGGGGAGTGGAAGTATGGCTCCACCATTCTTGAGCCGTGCACTAGATGGGGTGAGTGGTCAGCTTCACATCCCGGTCTCTTTCCTGCAGGGGTAGGAGGCTGGGTGGGCCCCAGAGCCGGTCTGGACGCTCTGGAGAAGAGAATAATCTTGCCCTTACCGGGAATCGAACCTCTGTCAGCCCATAGCCCGTCGCTATACAGACTTATCTATCCCGACTACCTACTATAAGGCAGACAGAATAATGTGACATGACGCCTGAAAGCCAGAATAGTTCATTACTAGGCAACGGCTCTGTAAACACATTTCCGCGGAAACGAACGATCGCAACAGTAGAAGAGTGTTGTTTTCTGTGATCAGCGCCGCGCTCGTTGCTATGCAGCGGTA